CAAACAGGTACGGGACCGCCAGCAGCTCGCAACGGGTCACGCAGTAGTTCCGTTTAGCCTTATTCAAAGCCCGACTGTAGTAGCCAACCACCCACTCCCCATCTGGCCCCTCCTGCGCCAACACCGTGCCCACCGAGTCACTCGCGTCCGTATCCAGGATATACGGTAACCGCGTATTGGGGGCAGGCCAGCATGGGGACCCCCACTAGAGCTTCACGTAACCGTCCGAAAGCCGTCTCGCAGACCGAGTCCCAATCGAAACAGTGGCCCTTGTCGGTGAGGCGGTGCAGCGGGATAGTGATGCGGGCAAAGTCCCAGACGAACCTCCGGTAGTACGAGTCCAACCCCAGAAAGCTGCGCAGCTCCGCGACAGTCGGCCAACCCCTCACTGCGGTGACCTTACCACCCAAGCCGCCCCTTACAGTCCAACAACATGTTCCAGGAAGGTCACCTCCCACTGCAGGATCTCGCACTTGCAGGGGTTGAGCCTCAGGCCAGCACCGCCTGGAGGTTCATCAAGGCCTGGTTGAAACCCCGGGCATGAACCACCAGGTTGTCCAGGTACAGCACACACTGGTTCTGGGGGACCGATGCCAGCACCCTCTCCATTAGCCTCTCGAAAGTCGCCAGGGCATTGCACAGGCCAAAAGGCATGACGGTAAACTGCCAGAGACCCTGGCTGATTGAAAAGGCCATCCGCAGGCAAGTATCGGGAGCGAACGGTACCCGCCAGTTGCCACAGCGGAGGTCAAGGGAGCTGAACCAGGTCGATCCGGTGACGTAGTCCAAGGTGTCCTCAACGGCACGCCTCGCTTCCAAGCAACACTTGGCCCCAGCCACCACCACCTTGTCTGGCCCCCTGGGTGACTCAGGGGCAGGATCCAGCACGCTCACTCCCCGGCTCACAGGCCCGGTCCGCCCCGGTGACTGCCGTCATCACTGCCTCTTTTTCCCCCGGCTCCGGCAAGCCTGCGTCCCTTGGCCTTCACCGGGCCTGCACTCCACCAGATGAAGTCGCTCTCCCTGCCACACCAACTTCTGCCAGCCCAAGTCTAAACTGGCCCCTGCTTGCTGCAGCAGGTCCAGCCCCAGGATGCAGTCCTCCTGGATGGGTGTGAGGTAGCAGGGGAGGCGCACCGTCACCGTAACCAGACAGAAGGTAAGCATCCGTTTCCTCCGGACTGCAGCAAGCTGTCCCGTCACGGTCCTCAGCTGCAGGCCAGAGGCCTCTCAACCTGGGGGGTTGGTGCCCTCGGCGTCAGGGAGGATGCCAGGCCGGAGTAGGGTAACCGATGAACTGGTGTCGAGCAG